ATACTGCAACGTGTGAGCCGGACTCTGCCTGGCTGCCTTCCTACATACTGATCGTTTTTGTTTGTTCCCCGGTTTGTCTATCGGCTACATATTTGTTGTATACAATACAGTTAGTGATTTATTAGTTGCGTGCTCATTTGTTTACTAATTTGGGACATAACAATTGTAATACGGGTAAATAACCTATAAAAGCTCCTATTTACCCTGTTTTCTCCACAGAACTGAGGAAAGNCCGGTTGTGTACGGTTTTGTAGTTCACGAAGGGGAGCAAAATACGACATTTACTTCTATTTGATTTTATCACACGAGGAACCGGAACCCGGCCGAGGAAAAATGAATTTAGATCTGCCCATTCGGAACCACAGGAGAGGTTGGTCAATAAGAGGTGTTGCTGTTTGTCCACAAAACATCTTTTCAGTGGATCGGAACTCAAACGTAGTTCATTACAACAAACAAGTTGGCAATACAAGGTCCATCAATCGTCAGCATATATATAGATAGATATATATATTAATTATTAGTTTCAATCAACCTGAATAACGTTCTTTAAAGAAATGCTAAACATTTGTCGACCTTCTTCTTCTTCTTCGATTTCAATTGTTCCGTGTTGCATCGTTTCGTATTGCAACATTTTGTTTCGTACAAGATGTCATCCTTCCAATCCCTGTACTCCTCACACGGTTGCTTGTCATGACAAAACCGGGCGTCTATGCGAGACACATTCTTCTCCGTGATTATATTCACCTGGTAAAAGGGAAACAGAATGATTTATCGTGAGTGGTGAAGCGTAGCAGTGGCAAATGGAGTCAGTTCGATTTTACACAATGATAGTTAGGAAATCTGGATTCCTTTTCCGCACACGCCGTATCTTCAGATAAGACATTAGGAAATGCAAAGAGCTGCTATACGGATTAGTTGTTTCCCGTATTCCAGATTGACTTCCAAACGAATCTGAATCTGGTTGGTTGAAAACAGTGAAGGTCATGACACTGAATCAACATCACTGGCTTTCTTATTGTCCTTCTTTATTTGGTCAGAATGCTTGTAACCGTTTGCATGCACATTTGGTGTACTCTGTGCGTTGACTCTCTGATATTCGCCTCTTTTCTTCTTTCCCTAAAATAGGCAAAAACCGTACTCACCGCAGACATCCCCGTTTACCTTGTCTGCAATGTGAGTTGACCTCACTGCGCTCCGCTCCGCTGTACAATAATGAAGCTGCACACTACGGGTATTGAGAACACAGGTTAGCGAAGAAGCTGATTTCTATGGTACATCAACCACCGGCCAACTACGATCAGCGAGAAACAGTCTACTTTAGCCAATTCCCGACCATCCAGTTTGAGAACAGCACCACCTGGCATCCAGTCTTGTAGCATCAATTCGCACTTTGAAGTTGCGAAGCGCATACCGAATGAAGCTAAAAAGCGTGTTAGTGTGTCATGTGCGCTTTGCATGTCCGCCAAACATTCAACAAAACTACGGATGTCATTGGCGCATTCCAAATTTTGGCGGTAGATGAAGTATATGTTGGATAAATTGGAATTCACAGACCGAAACAGCAATGCGGCTATCCTTCAAAGGCACTTTGATCCAAAAATTCTTTCTGAATTCCTCCATTGATGTAGCTCTCCCTCACATAGGAGAAAGTCGCTGATTGTCGAATACTGTACGCACCTCAACTTATTACCCTAGCAATAACCCTCTTCAAAGCTATCATCCCTTCTAGCATCATGGATAGCTGTGAGTTCATCTTAACACCCCACGCATCACTCAATAAGCCAAGAGAACCGCAAAGGTTGAATCCGATTGCGAAAAAATCCGAAGCATAAAATGAATCAGTGTTATTCGAGATAAACTCGAACTAGACTTTTGCGGACCTGGACTGAACCCAACCGTGCAATTATTCATTCCAATCTTGGCACCTGAGCATGGTGGCCGAGTTATCGATCCTTCCTGAGATGATTCGCTTCCTTACCCCAATGAAAGATCAATTACCACAAGTTTTGAGCATTCTTTTTTAAACATCACGCGATCAACGGTGAAGGATACCGTTTCTATATTGCGGGTGGACGAACAGTCAAATGACACCCATCGTTAATTTCAACCGTGTCCGGGAACTCATTCAAACAATATATTTTTTCAACAGAGCAATCAGCTCATCTAGACTGTACTGTCCAATCGGTGACGCGCGACGACTCAAGCATCAATCACTTTGTAAGGTTTACAGTAAAATGCGCCTGGTTAGATTAACTTGATATTACATCGGATTCACATGACGTTATGACGGCTTTACCTTAATTTGAATAAGTAAATTGAGCTTCATATTCGGCAAGAAATAAGCGTGGACTCCGTTGCTTATTCATTGATTTCTTCCTAGCTAGAACATTGAGTGTCTCACATGGAGGACGCGCTTTCATCACCGTTTTAACCAACTCAGGCTTGGACAGCTCAAATGGTCGTACCTAGGAATTTCCGCTCGTTAGGATGATTGGTGAAGCTGAGTGTTATTTGAGTAATTCAAAGGTAACGATTGCCAGATTGATTCAAAATTATTCCTCGGAATTGACTGATGCCAAATGTGAGTTTATCCTAACTTCAATCAAACCAGTAAATTTCATTAGATAATCGACATGCTCAGATGCACATTTCAAAAGTAGCAAACACTCAATCTGTTTTTGGTCAAACATCGTTGATGTGTGGAGAAGCATGTGAGTTAGTGAAGTATGTCTGACATGCTCCTGGAAAGCGATCCAAATGACAGAAAAACTTGAACAGTGAGCTCACCGAACAGTTGATGCAACCTTTCTTCAACTGGTCCCGATTCACCTTGTCACACGCTTTGCACTCATAACAACTGATCGCATTGATGGCTGCACCCAGGTATGCAACAACCATACACACGAAAATTTGACGCATCTTTGTCAGGTTGAGTCCATGTACTCGGTTAGGCCAGCATAGGATTGTGCAAATTTATACCTATGAAGGTCGGTTGGTTGTCGCAGCTTAACCCATCCGATTTGTTGCCGCGGGGGGGGGATACTCGTGTAAAGCAGACTATCAAACAATTTATTTGTTCTACCGTGTTAGATTGTACGGATACTTCAGTGAGTGACCTGTTTTTTTCACGAAGATGCTAACCGAATAATTTCTTCATTCTCCAAGCAGCAGCAAATCTGTACCGTGCATTCAATTCGCCAGAATCAGTCCCAAGGGTGAGATTATTCACACGTCTAGCGGGGTTCGCGAGGGGGAATGTACGATACGATTAGATTTGATCTAGATTCAGCTCAAACGGGCGGGGGGGGGGGG